GGTCTGAGCCTAATAAAGGGTCACTGAGTAGCATCCTGTAAAAAAAAAGATCATTCTTGTTCTGAGAATGACAGTTACTTGCTAGTACCCCCCCCAAAATAAAACAGTGGTCATTTTGATGAGGGCTTACAATCTTCCTGTAAGCATATCTTTGAAATAAAAGCAAGATAGTACATTTTAGAACTCTTCTTCTCCCTTCTCCTCTCCCTCTCCCCTCCTTTCCTCCTCCTGGTTCTCCTCTTCCCCTTCTCTTCACCATCCTCTCTTTCTGTATAATGGGAAAAAGGCTGTGGCATCAAGAATGTTTTGAAGATTCAATGGATCACTTTTCTCAAAAAGAAAGAGAAAGAGAGAGAGAGAGAGAGAGAGAGAGAGAGAGAGAGAGAGAGAAAGAAAGAAAGAAAGAAAGAAAGAAAGAAAGAAAGAAAGAAATTCCACTTTGTAGGAAAAGTGTAGGTGTCAGAAGTTTCACTCCACAGTCAGCTGACTGCACTGCTTTAGGCCTGAAGTAAGGCAAGAGCATCCTGGCAGTTCCTGGCAGCCAGACTGTGATGGAGCAAAGTGTCTCAACTTGGAGTAGTCATGACACAGGAAGACTAGCTGTGCATACTTTTTGATGGTTATAAATGCATTAATCATGTTACTAAGCAATGTTTTGGCTTAAATTGAAATCAAATTTGAACCCATCTAAAGCAAAGAGGGAATTTATTACTTACATGATCAAAAATTCACTGTAAACTGGGAGACAAATGGATCCAGGCAATGAAGCAATATCACCTAAATTTTCTCTCTTACTACATCTCTCAGCACTTTTTTCCTCTGTAGGGGTTTAAAGCTGTTACCCACTCATATTTTAATTGTAAAAACCTGTGGTTTATCTCTCATTGGCCTGAAATAAGTCATATGTTCATCTCAGACCCAGTCAATATGGTTAGCCATCCTGCCTAAGTACTTACCGAGGCTGACAAAAATCTGAGCAGGATGAAATGAAAGGATAAATAAGGAAAATCTCCAAAATAGTCTAATTTTATTTGGCTTTATGGTCCTAGAGCTAGTATAAGTACTAGGTCCAAAGAAAGTTCAACAGTAACAAAAGCCCTATTCCATTTATATGGAGTCTACTTCTATTGTATTTATATTGAATTCAATATGATGCTGGAAACGTAAGAAATGTCCTGTGTCTTAATTAACCCAGGCTGCTATATCAAAATACCATAAACTGGATACATTATTAGTCTGAGTCTTAGTCTGCAGACATTATTCATAGTCTTAGAATATAGAACATCAAGAATCAAGAAACCAGCAGATTTGGCTTTTGGCCATGGCCCTTTCCCTGGCTTGGTGACAGCCATCCTCTATTTTCTGTTCACATGACCATTCCTTGGTGTGCAGCAATAGGAAGAGTGAAGAGGTACTGGGTACTAAGCCCCCCTTTGAAAGCCTGCCTTCATAATTTCTTCTAAACCTCGTCACTCCCTCAAAGACCTCACTCACCATTGCATTGGAGGCGAAACCCTTAACATATAAATGCTGGTGAGGTGGGGTAATTAGACATTCTATCCTTAACTATAATAAAAATCAGGAAACCCCAAAGAAACTATGTTTATTTAGCTATTACTGAAATGGTGAAAATCAACAAAACCGAAGATGTTCAATTCAGTTTGTACCCAGAAATAGCTCAATCTGCATCTACAATAAGAAGGACTTACTTTGCACTAACCCTAAAATCCTTTGCTTCAGCCAAGAGCTCATGCTACATCCAACAAGGAAATTTTGGAAAAAGCAGGAAAAGCCCTCACAGTGTCTTACTAGACTACATCCCATCCAAGCACTGGAGATTACACTTGATGGAAGCACACTGGTCAATTAATTGAAGAATATGATTTGAAAACCGCCTTTTAAGACCCACATGAATATCTGATAATTATGTGATTGAGGGAAACTGGAAGTACAAGATTTAACGTGGGCGATGCCAAAAAAAGACAAGAAAATTATAGGTTATTACACCACTTAGGGCTTTTACAATACATTCTTAGAGCTTTGATATTTAGCTACTGTGGGCTCTCATTTTCATTTGCTACTTCTGCCAAGAGAAAAGAGGGTATGTGAGGTGTTTCCTGAAAATCCTAGTACTTGAAAACATAAAGGGGGATTTAGGACTGCCTGAAGAAAGGAAATAAGCAAAGTTGCCTTTACAAGGTGCCAGAGAACACTGGATGTTCTGTTCAGCGTGCTTTTGTTTCACTGGACTTTTGTGTCTGATGACAGCATCAAGAGGCATCAGATAGCTCTGAAGTCCAAGGACAAAGTTACACTACCAATCTCAGTTTCAGAAGAGATAGCATCAGATCTCCCCCTTCACTGTGCCGTCAGACCATTACTAATTAGAACATGGAGGCAACAAGACTTGGAGAGAGCACGCTTTGCAGATATGGCTGAGCCCTTCTCAAGCTCATTGCCACACCCTCCCCAACCACATGGGCAGAAGTTATGGGGTTTAAAATACTGGAATGTGAGTGAATAACTGAATAGTTATGATGCAAGTTTATATTAATCCACTAATAAGAAAAGTGTCTGCCAATTAATTAAGCATAGATATTATTTTAAAGCCTATGTTTCTGTGAAAAATAATAACTTGACATTGGAAATATTGAATAATTTGAAATATGTGTATAGGCAATATTTATTAACAACATAATACATGTTGATGGTCTTTAAATTTATTGTGTTATATTTAACATATTATATGCTGCATATATCATACTGTTTCATTTTCTTGTTTGTCTGACTTTTAAAAGCAATTGTTGTGAGCCTAGCCTTTAACAGTTGAGCCATCATCTTTCCAGCCCTACAACTGTCTTTTTTATAACAGTTTAAGATTTACAGTAAAATTGTGAAGAGAGTCCCCATGTATCACACATCTAGTTTTTCCTATTATCAATATCTTTTAGTAGCTTATTTTATATTTAACAGCTTCAACTTTAACTTGGTTTTAATTTTTCATCAAAACAACTGATATACCTGATGACATAATCAAATAAAAACAAAAATCTGGTAATCCCATTTATCGGTCTCTAGGCATTCTTCTCATGACTAATCAATTGTCAGTATTAGTATTTCTTTTAGTTATTAAATAGTTCTAAATGATACTTAGCATTAATTCACTGATACTCCAAGTCCTAATAATCTTTGACATACACCATCAGATCCACCACACTATCATCACTTTGGAGTAGCGCAACCTCGAAAGATCCAATACCCTGTAACTTCCTCCCTCTGCTTGCATCATGACAATTCTAGTCTGCTGCTTCAGTTGGTCACTTGTGGCCCCCTAGACTTGATGCCTTATGACATTTTATTGATGATCTCTGTGTTGAATGCCTGTGTCTTGGGCAGAGGACTTGGTCTTTCTTGAATTGTCTGTTTCTGTGGATTTCTAAGAAAAGCTTCAAGGGAGATGGTGTTTATCAATCTTCCCCATGTGAAATTCTACCCTTGCAACTGACTTATTGGTCATTGAATTCTTGTTGGAAAGCATTTTCCTATCTGATGCCACTGTTCTATTCTGTCTTATATTTTCAATGTTTTAATTCACACTAACCTGGTCTATCTGAAAGCTTGTTGCACTTCTCTCTACTCCTATAGAGCTGAGATGCTGTGAAGCCTTGTCCTGCACTAGTCTGTTCAGTCACTGCCAAGAGGACCCAGTGGACCACTTCCAACTGCATTGCTATTCTATCCATCCTCACTACTATGTATGACTGTGGAATAAAATTTTAGAAGGCATAGCATTTCCAGCCAAATAATAAAGCCACATGAGGAAAGCCTAATCACCTGAGCTTGTTATCCAGCTTTCTCATCTGCATTCACATATAATTATTGCATAGGGCTGGTTAAATCATGGGACATTCATTAGCTAGAATATCATGTTATGATCATTGTTGTTCTAAGCCATCAGAGAGTACGTTGACCTCTTCCACTAAATATGCCAGTGTATTTCCTAGGAACAATTCTTCCTCAAACATAATGCTCCTGACTCTATGGCAAAGAATAAAACAACAAGATTGTGGTTTGCTAAAATTAACCATGGCATAGGAATTCTGGTTATACACAAACATGCATATATATACACACAAATGCATACACATGCACAGCTCTGGACATGGTTCAAGAAGATCTAATTCTAATAGAACAGGGCATGTTGTAACAATGAATGTATTTCTCCCTCTATTCTCCATGCTTTCTAAACCCCAAGTCAACTTACATTTTATTATTTGTTTTTGATAGGCAAATATTTCTATACTTAAATATTCATTTGATCTGTACATATGACATGCTTTTGGTACTAAAAATAGCTATTATCCTACTTGATAAGGATGAAAACATATAGACTTGCTATTTTAAATGCGCAAGTATAATTCCTTTATATGTGTTCGGCAGTTTCTAAAAGTTGATCAGAATCACAATCTGAGAATTAAAATATTCTAAGCATCGAATTTTTGGTTTATTGGAGGCTATAACTGTGGTTACTTAAAAACTCCTTTAGTCTTCAACAAGGCATTAAAATAAATTCCAATAAAATTCTTTTTTTAATTTCCAGTAAGTAACTACCATCAGCAGATCTAAGTTATCAGAGAGGACTGTTTTTGTTTTTTGGGTTTTTTTTTTTTTTATTTTTGAGACAGGGTTTCTCTGTGTAGCTTTGGAGCCTATCCTGGCACTCTCTCTGGAGATCAGTCTGGCCTCGAACTCACAGAGATCCGCCTGCCTCTGCCTCCCGAGTGCTGAGATTAAAGGCGTGCGCCACTAACACCCGGCAGGACTATGTTTTAATAATGTCCCTCACTAGGATTTGTAGTTTTATTATGAAAATGTCATTGTTTATATAAGAAAGTTCAATGAGAATATTCATAAAATTATCATTGAAAATTAATATCAATAAAATGTATGTCAAATACATGAAAGCTTTCACATTATCACAAAAAATATTAAACAAGGAATGTGTTAAATAGATTATATTTGAAATAATAAACAATGCAGTATTTTACTAGCAGATTTGTATCTTTGTGGCCAGTGAACACCAGTGATGCTTACATGCAGAGCTCTTTAATAGCACCCTCTCACATGTTAGAACACCCTGTGTTGTGTCTAACATACACAAGAGACTTGATTCTCTCTCCCCACTGTATGTCTGAAGACTTTGACAAAGTTTTCTTTTTCTAGATTCAGGAGCCAGTATGGTTCCTACAAAAGCCAGTCTTCTGCTCTTCATAAGGACTGGTGAAAGAGTTAAGCATACGACTCAAGGTGACCAGAATTTCTTGGTGACATCTTCTGTATAAACTCCAGAGTCCTCTTCTGATTTTCACTTCCAAACACTGAGTAAGTCTGGAGCTGCTGTGTCATCACTACCTGCAGAGTAACTGCCCAAGAATGAGGCTGATACCTAGGGGAATGCTGAATTGAATTATATAGTAAACAGAACTCTTATAGGTAACCTGGATTTAGCCATTTTAAAACCAAGTCCACACCTAGACTTTGTGATTAAAAGAGGCAACAATAAATATGACTTTTGCTCCAGCTAATCTGAATGAGATTCCTACACATCATTTGCAACTAAGCATCCAGACTAAGAGATTAGGGTAAAGCATTTCAATATGCAATGCATAATTAAGACATATATAGAACACTTAAACAATTTTTGATCCTAAATTTTACATTTGCCAAACCAAGATTATATAGTTGTATGAAAGTAATGTAAGCTTAGTTTACTTATGTCTTTAGAGATTAACTACTATCCTAACTTCTCTACTACTAAGAAAAAGTACCATGGGTGTGGTAGGTATGGGTATGTGGGTGTATACAGAGGTAAACCAGGCAAAATTATAGAGAGAATTCTACCTAAAGCATCAAAAGTTTTCAAAAGCCATAGAGTCACTGTCTATGTACCACACAACACTTCATGGGGGCATTTAGGCTCAAGTTTGAAAGTGCTGCAGCATTTTAAAAACTGTATTCAAGATGGTTTGTTACAAACTTCCAAATCTTCATAATTTCCACTTTCACTTCTCAGGGAAATGAATACACCTCCTTTCACAATATGAGGAACTGTTTTCCAAAGGTTGCTAACAGTCATGAAGATTCTTAGTTTACACATCTTCAAATGAAATTCTCTCCAGCAGATATATACCATAAGCTCATCTTGGGACATTTTCCTTCTTCCTCCCCAATTCACTACTCTCTTAGAAGAAATGTGCATTTCTAGATCTGGAAAATTGCAGAACAAGCACAAAATGAGATACTGCCATTCTATTTCCTCTCTATTATAGTACCATGTATTACTTCTGTTTAACCACAGCTCACACTGTCTGGCAAATAGTGAGTACAAAGATAACTTTGGTCTACAAATGATCTTGAAAACTAACTCTCATCTTATACTGAAAGCAAATTAAGGTCTGAGATGTTAGGGTTGGTGTATATGAGATGATGGGTCAAGAACACAAAGATTAAGTCTCTTGATTCCTAATCCAGTGTTCATCTATTAAGCCAATTTGGGGGCACTTTTTGTAATGTCCACATAGAAAGAATGTTCTTATGCACAACATGAGGGATTATTAATTCTAAGACACCATTATATTCACAGTTTTAAGCACACTCAGTGTGAACAAATTAGCAGACATCAATATTTGAATTTTTATTAATCTCAAAGTTTTAGGTATACATCAAAGTAAATAGTGGCCAATGTGGTGATTTATTGTTTATGATCTAATAAAGCCCTAGGGATCAAAATGTAAAGCTAATCACAGCCATAGGGCCAGGCAGTGGTGATATACACCTTTAATCCTAGCAGCCAGGCTACTAGCTAGTCCTTGTCTTGCCTACACTTTTTTTTTTTTTTTTTTTTTTTTTTTTTTTTTTTTTTGGTTTTTTGAGACAGGGTTTCTCTGTGTAGCTTTGGAGCCTATCCTGGCACTCACTCTGTAGACCAGGCTGGTCTCAAACTCACAGAGATCCTTCTGCCTCTGCCTCCTGAGGGCTGGGAGTAAAGGAATGCACCACCAACCCCCCCCCTTTTTTTTTTTTTTTTTTTTTTTTTTTTTGGAGGCCTACACCTTTAATCCCAGGACTTAGCACACAGGCCGGTGGATCTCTGTGAGTTCAAGGTCACCCAGGGCTAAACAAGAGTGAATCAGCCAAAAAGAATAACAGAGCTCATACCTTTAATCCAAGCACTAGAGAGGCCTAAAAGGAAGAAGCAAAGGGTCTGATGTGAGATTTAGTTTCCAGACAGGGAAAGGATTGCACTCTGAGGATTCGTGGAGCCTGGATCACCTTTTTAGTTTGAGGTAGAATGAAGAACTTAATGGCTGGTTGATTTGCTTCTCTGATCTTCTGCTTGAACCCCAATATCTGTCTCTGGGTTTATTAGTGTTACAGGCCAGCTACTATGTTAAGAAAATAAACAAGCCAAAGAAGTTGAAGCCACTGTGCTGTATGAAGCTCACATATATGTGTCTTTCCATGAAGATGTCAAAGCCAATCCCTTGATTTTTTTTTCTAAACTCAGACTCATCTGTCTTGAAAGCACCAGTCTTAAGTTGTGCTCTAATATCCTGGGTTGTGGACATGTTCTTTGCTGTGTATAAAGTGTGTGGAGCTGAATATTGTGTCATTCACCGTTAAGTTGGTGGTACCTACCACAAAGCCAAGCACTCAGTTCTGAAATCTGAGACAAGGGAGAACAACTGGATATCTAGATTTAAAAAAAAAAAAAAAAAAAAAAAAAAAAAAAAAACAGAACTTAGAGCCTTTCTTTACACCACACATAAAAATTAACTAAAACTTAGATCATATCTTATATTTAAATATAAGAGTTGAACAGAAAAAAGAAAGAAAATCAAGCAAGGAGAAAATCTTTGTGACCTTAAATTAGATAAAGGTATTTTAGATACATCAAAAATATATTCTATAACAATCTAGATAAATTAGACCCCATAAAAATTTAAAATGTTTCCACTACAAAAGATACCAATTAATAAAATAAGAAAGAGAATTAATAGACTGCAGGAAAATATTTGCAAATACATACATGGTGGTATGTATCACATATCACATACCTGTGTTCTCAGCATTCAAGAGGTGAGGCAAGAATAGTCCAGGCTAACCTGAACTATGTAACAATATCCTCTCTTTTTAAAATAATAAGCATATGAAGAATTTTACATGATTTTTAGTTTTTAAAAGTTTTTTGAGAATTTCCTACATTTGTTTTATATTTACATTTTCTTTCTTCCTTTCATCCCCCTCAGCTCTTTCTATGTACCTCTCACTCTCAAATCCATGACTCCTTTTAAAGTTGGGGGGAGAGAGAGAGAGAGAGAGAGAGAGAGAGAGAGAGAGAGAGAGAGAGAGAGAGAATTTATAGATGCATCCTTTCTAGTCCATTTTAGTGCTGCGCATACATACATGTGTTTAATAAGGCTAGACATTTGGGATTGGATAACCTATAAGGGTGCCTTTACCTGGGGAAGACATAATCTACCTCTCTCAGCAGCAATTAGTTGCCTGTGACTCTCCATCTAGGAGTGGGGACTTGTGAGATTTTTCCCCACCCATGTTGGCATGTCAACTGCTGTTTTTACTGTGCTGGTCTTGTTTAGGTGATCATTTTGTTGATATTTCATGGGTACAGCTCCTTATCATGTATAGAAGATACTGTTTCACAGCAGATGTCGGGTCATCTGGCTCCTACGGCTTTCTACACCTTCTGTGATATTCCCTGAGCCTTAGGTTTAGTAATTGTTATTATAGATGTGTCAGTGATTTTGAGCACCCCATGGTCAGTTGGACATTCTCTGCATATTGACCATTTATGGAATTCTGTAATGGTTTCTGTCTAATTAAAAAAGAAATTTCTTTGATGAGGAGTGAGAGATACCATTATCTGGGTGTATAATAATGGGTATTAGAATGCAGTTAGAAATTATACTGGTTTGGAAAAGCAGCAGTTATAGGCTCTTCTCTAGGATCTAAGACCTCACCAGCCACGGGTAATTAGCTAGGTTTATAGCTAGCACTAGGCATGAAATCTATTCTATTTGTAGACTTTAAGTCCAATTATTTGGCTGTTGGTTGCCCCCAAGATATTAAGTGCCACTCTTGCATCATTGGGCATATCTTGCTAAGCTGGTCATTGTTGTGGTTCAGTCTTTATACTTGGATAGGACCATTGATTGGCAGTTTTCATAGCACCTTCAGTTACTATGAGAGCTAGTCATCATGGAGGAAGCTTATAGGTCAGTTCCAGCTCAATTCCTCCAGTCAACAGTAGTGTCTTACCTTCTACCTTCCAGCTCTTGGGTGGCAACCAATGGCAATAGCCCATATTGTTTGGGTAATCTCTTGTAAGCCCATGACCAACAAATTGAGCCTGGCACTGGGAAAGCATTATATTTTATAGCATGATTTTTTTTTAAAGAGAAGAACAAGGGGCCTTACCAAAAGTGAACAAACAATACAAACAGGTGTTTCACTGGAGAAGATATACAAGTGAATAATGGCTAATAAGGATATGAAAGGATGTTCAATGCCATTTAGCTTAGGAAATGAAGATAAAAACAAGAATGAGGCTGTACACATACACACACACACAAACACACACACACACACACACACACACACACACACACACACACACACACTAGAATGGTTACAGTGAATAAGCCAGAGAGTAAAAAATGTTGATGGGAATGTGAAGAATGCTCAAGTATTGTTAGTGAAAACAAAATACTACAGCTTTGAAAACAGTTTGACAGTTTTTCAAACAAATTAATTGTAAACTACCAAATGACCTAGTAATTCCACTTCTAGGTATTTACAAAGATTTTTAAAACATGTACATATACACCAATATTTATACAAGAATATTTACAACAGAATTATTCATAATATTTCCAATTTGGAAACAACCATATACTAAAAGCAGAGATCAGATAGGCTAGAGGTGTATACCTATGGAATATGATACTGTTCAGCAATAAACTCTGTTACAGATGAACTTCAGAACCACTATGCAAGGAGAAAACCATAAACAACAATTACTGTGATTCTACTTACAGTAAATGCTAACAAAGCCAGCTTTGTAGATAGAAATGTGATCAGTAGTGTTCTGGACTTATATATTGAAACAAGAAGAACTATAATAAGGGTGTCTTCTTGGGAGGATGAAAATGTTCTAAAACTAATCATGGGTATGGTTGTGCCACTTGGTCAAGTTACTAAAATTATAGAATTTACATGTTAAATGGGTATTTTATGATATGTAGAAGACACTTCACTAGAGTTGTTGTTTTACAAAGTCAAGTAAATGGATCATTGACCTTCCTAAACCCTTTGAGGCCCTTCTATTATCATTTAGCACTCTATTATATAGACAGGGTACCAACTTCCAAAATCTCTCTATTCTCCTCGCCCTTATGACTCTTACTCTCCCTACCCATTCCAACTCATCTCTCAGAAGTCCTTAGAACATGTTATATTTTTTCAGTCCTCCAATTCAGAGAAAAGACACATGAACAATCTGACAGCAGATGACTCATCTTTTTACAGAACTCTTAATCAGTCTCAGTACTCTTGTCTTCAGAATGCTGACATTTTGTCTGAAAAGAATTTTTGGTGAAATAACTATAAAATGAAGGTTCCACATATGGCAAGATCCTCCTGAATATAGGTAGTGGAAGACCAAGAAAGTCCAAAGAAGACTGAAAAAGAGAGTGCATAGCAGTCAAAACTCCCTTGGTAGAAATGGGCAGCAAGAGACTCCCATCCACAGAGCCAGTGAGTAGATATAGCCTCTCTGAGTGCTTTGTACTAAGGGTCTTCATACCTAAGGTTTCTGTTCATGCCAAGCCATGTCTACCTTCTGTTAGTTCTGTTATCATACTGACTATTCAAATCTACTTGGGCAGACAATGAAGAGAAGCTAAGAGAAATAACTAGGCTTTCATCTGGCACCCTGTAATTAAGTTATCTCTACACCATCAAGACATAATTGTGCAAGAAGGCTTTATTTCATAAATGCTGTTTCTCTCAAATGTAAGTTCCTAATACACAGACACACAGAGATAGTGTCAGAGAAAAGAAGGCGGGATGAGCAGGAGGAGGGCAAGTCCTATTGAAATCTAAGCAGAAGCTCTGGAAAAAAGACACTCTCTTTAGTGATAAATATGCCTGACAGATGGCTGTAATATTCCCCTGGTAAATATGTAAATCAAACATCATTATGCAGTTTGCAAGAAATGAAGTCAGTCTTTTCTAGGAGCTCCCTGTACCAATAGCCAACCCTTAGATAATCTATTAACTCACTATATATTAAAGCACTATAATAATTTTGTTTCTTTGGTTCCAAAGCATTTAGAAATTTTTGAGCAGCACCTATGTGTAAATTACCATGTTGAATACAGTTTGCCACTTATTATCAATACATTGAGCCATTAAGCAAATACTACTAGGTACCACTAGATTATTACTGATGAGTGTGAATAAATAAGGAATGGAGACAAGTAAGAAGTTCAAGTACAGGCCAATGTTTTAAAAGTGTTGTTTGTAGAGCAGCTGTATTCTAAATTGCTTGCATATGAATTCTAATTAAGTTACTAGAATGAATAATCCTGAGTCCTAGTCCAGTCAAAATGAATCAGAATATCTGTCTGGGAAGCACAGTGATATGTACATATATATCTTAATAAATGCTAGAGTTGGTTCCTGTGTACACCAAACTTGCTAATCACTGCTGTGGTGGTTTGAATGACAATGGCCCCATAGGCTCATAGGGAGTGGCACTATTAAGAGGTGTGGATTTGCTGGAGGAAGTATGTCACTGGGAAGGCTGTGAGGACTCAAATGCCTGCAGATCAAGATGTGGCACTCACAGCTCCTTCTCCAGCAACTTGTCTGTCTGCATGCCACATTGTTTCCTGCCATGATGATAATGGACTAAACCTCTGAACTGTACGCCACTCCCAATTAAATGTTTTCCTTTATAAGAGTTAACATGGTCATGGTGTCACTTCACAGCAATAGAAGCCCTAAGATAGCTGCTATTGCATGAGAGACTCAGATTCATATCACAAACAAGTGTGACAGTCTGATAATATTTGTCTTCATTTGGTTCAGTGTAATTACATGCCAGGGTGCTCTTCTATAAACTTCTCAGTGTTGATATTTTTATAAGTAAATTTTAGAATAAGTAGGTCTCTAGACAAACTACTATAACATTATTCAAATCATGAAAATAAGTATCGCTGTGAAAGAGGGCATGAAAGAAGATGAGATGGACTCATCGGGGAGAGGAAAATTATCATAGAGCAAATATTGGGTCTTACCACTAGAAGTTTAGGATTGCTCAGCCAATTCTGAGGCACTGTTTAGTATTATCTTAGTACATACTCAAGAACTAGTTGAATGAAGGATCATTGTCTCTGCTGTGCATCTGAAAGCAGCAAAGCAATGCCTTGGGGCTAGCTTCTTCCCTCCCACATCTTAATGTTGAGACAGACTAACACTTTTGTGTTTATGAAAAGCAGCGGGACATGACATATGCCTATGAATTCAGAACTCAGGAGGGAATGCGACACAAGACTTTGGAGAATTCCAGGTTAGCCTGGAATACATATAACAAACCCTTTTTGAAAAAGGAGGAGGAGGGTAGGAAGAAGGGAGGGCTGGGCCGGAGGAAGGGCTGGGCTGGAGAGAGGGAGAGAGGGAGGGAAGGAAGAGAGGGAGGGGGAGGGAGGGGGAGGGAGGGAAGTCTATGGCACATTGTTATGCTTTGAATATGCAGACTCACATAATGAACTGTTAGTCCCAGCTGGTAGCTCCTAATTGGAAGTCACTCCAGACCTATCTTTGAATATTGTATCTGGCCTTGGTCCCTGCCTTCCTGGTCTCTGCTTCCTGTCTGACATACAGTGAAAAACCTCTACCACATGCTTCCATTACCATGATGCTCTCTCTGCCCAGCAGCCAGGGACCAAAGCCTCTGACAGAGTGAGCAAACTATGGATTTCCTTCTTGAAGTTGTGCTCCTGGGTATTTTTGCCATAGCTTTCTAAAAATAACCAAAATGCTCATAAGTACATATCATTTTTATTAGCTACTGAGCCTTGCAGCTAAATATTGTACACAATTGTAAAACTATTCTTAGTTGTTTTGTAGGTATATTTGAGTTTACCCTTTATTATTTGGTTCATATTCTTTTAATAACCTGATATTAATTTTATACTCAACACTCAAATTATTTTTCAGTTTGGATTTTTGAAACATAAAATCTACATTTTTCTTTCTTTTGAGCTAGAGTCTCATTGCTACCTCAATCTTAAGGTCCTCCTAAGAGCTGGGGCTGCAGACATGAGCCACTAGGCCTGGCCAAAATCCCTCATTTTAGAGAAATAATTTCAGGAACTAGTTGCACACAGTTGTGCACAGTCACATAACCATCACCCCAATAAATATAGTGTATTTCCACCATCCTTAAAGGTGTCCTCTTTAGACAGTTGGTGGCATGGGCCTGAAATATCAGTGTTCAGAAAGCTGAGGTAGGAGAACAACAAACTCAAGACCAGCCTGACCAGCCCCATCTAAGCTTCTGTTTGTTCCCCTGTGCCATAACGATCTGCTTACAGCTTCTCTGTCTTAGCCATTTCTGAAAGTGGAACACAACATTGCCTCCCATACCTTCTAAAAGTGGCCAGCATAAAATAAATGAAAAGATGATGTTGTTATACTTAGGTACTCCCAGATCATGATCACAGTCTGTGCCAAGCCAAGCTGTAATCTTAAAGCTCACAGATTGCGTGACCTCAATGCAGCTCTTCTCAGTGTGAGCAAATTGGCCATCTGGAATAAATGGTTTCCTGCTTAGTTAAAATTTCAAATCCTAAAATACCAAACACAAGGCAACTATACATTGAATTCATGGTAAAATCATTCATTGTTGTACAGATTGTGGTAAAATTGGTATTTTACCAATAGTGTAATTTTATGATACAATTTAGATAGTTCCTTGGGGAAGTATATATAGGAGGGCCTTAACATTTGTCAACCTTTTGACCAGCACTTCTACTTATGGGATTCTAGTTTATGAAAATAATGCTTATAAAGAAAGGAGTGACCCTTACACAGATATATCCACTAAAATTTATAAATGTGTGTGTGTATGTGTGTGTGTGTGCATATATTCTAACAATGAGCTATACTATCTCATTCTTGTGATATTTTTAAAGAATACCATGAAAATGTCAAATGGGAAAATACACACTGATATTCACAATCATTTTTAAATGCTCATAAATAGTTTCTAAACAATATACTAAGAGTATGTATATGTATATGCTATTTAAGCTCAACTCTTTAAATTACATCTACTTATATGTGTGCATGTGTGTATTTGTGTGTAGATGTTTGTGTTTGTGTGTGTGTATGTGTGTGTGTGTGTGTGTGTGTGTGTGTGTTTGTGTGTACATGTGTGCGGGTGCACATTTGTGTTGAAGTCAGAAGACAACATTTTTTGAAGTCAGTTCTCTCCTCCACACCATGTGGGTCTCTTAGAAAGCAGATCATTAGGCAAGAGCCATCCTGCCATCCTTCAACTTGAACTTTTACTAAAAGCCTGGAAGATAATGTATCTGAATCCCTACTTGTAGCTTGTGGTACTTGTAGTTTTGTTTTTTCCACTTGCTTTTTTCCAATAGTGGTCAAGGAAGTAACTTTTGTCAAATTTTTAAGAATTAAGTATCTTGGACTGGAGAGATGGCTCAACCGTTAAAGGCTAGGCTCACAACCAAAAATATAAGAATTAGTATATTGAATTCCTGGCCAGAAAGTATTTTAGAAAACTAGTTTGTCTCTGTATATTAGTCAAAAGGAAGTTTCCTTATCAATATGAGACACAAGCAAACAGTTTAAAACATTTGTTTAAGCCAAAAAGGCAAGCTGGCAGTACTCTAAGCTTGACATTTTCTGATTGGACATTACACTATATTCTGGACACTCTTGTTGTCCAGCTCTGTTTTAAGTTTAAAAGAATAAGCATGGTTCACATCATCAATGCTTAATTTAAAATATAATCTCAAACCTAATTTTAACATGAATGTTCTGGAACCTAGATAATGGAAAGTATGAGTAGAAGTAGAGTTTTATTTGTTTTGGGTTTGGGGGTTTTTTGTTGTTATTTGTTTTTTTGCTGTTGTTGTTGTTCTTGTCTTTTGTTTTGTTTTTGAGATAGGGTGTCTCTGTGTAGTTCTGGCTGTCCTGGAACTCTTTCTCTGAAGATCAGGATGACCTTGAACTCAGAGATCCACCTGCTTCTGCCTTCCAAGTGCTTCCAAGTAAAGGAGGGTGCCACCACTCCCTGCTGTAGTTTTATTCTAGAACACTTTCTAGCCTTGAGATACCCAAATTACATTTTATTTATGAAAAACTCTTTGTTCTTTGGTTAAATTGTTATTGTTCTCAATTTTCCAAAGAGAACTGTTAGGGTACAAGATGAACTGTAAACCAGTGGTTTCTGAGATGAATTGATCTTTGTTGTTAACGCTCATAATTTAATGGTATTGTGTTAGCATTGCTAACAACCAACTACTAATCATACATCGGAACTTTAGTTTTTCATATGCCAAACATTTTTCTAAATGGAAAATAAAACATTTTAGGTTAACATTTCCTACCACTGGAAAATGACCCAAAGGGGAGGTTTAAAGTTAGTAGAGTGTTTATCTTATCTTGTGGGCTCTGGTCTGTTTGGGTTACTGTTTGGCTTCCAGTTAATCAGACCTATTTACTAGTTAAGAACATTCAGCAATTAACAGTGTTCAAATATCACCAATCTGCTGTGTTATTTCAGCTGGGAAAACAACTATATGAACCAGAACAGCTTCCCAACCAAAAATAAATGATAACACCCCACTGGTGGCTGATTCCCCGTCCTTTAAGGTACTGCACACAGTCTCACGTGGTATGAAATAGTGTGAAATTTAAATAATTTAAAATCCCAAAGCTATGCCAGTATTAAAAAATAATAAAGTAGCTTTGCCAACAAAAACATCCTTTCTGGGAGACAAAACAAGTTCGAGAAGCAGTTACAGTCTCCTTCCATCAGGAACCTCTACCAGCCTTACTTTTTTGAGACTGCCTGCTAATCGTATTAGCAATTTTTAACACAGAGTGACTCTAATCAGCCTCTGCTTGCTCTTCAGACTTTGACACTTCCCCAGCTGCTAGGCCTATACTTAACTAAACAAGTACAGTAGCAGTGCAGTGGAAGGTTTATACAACACAGAAGCTACAAATGTGCTTGGAGAAACAGGCCTCGTTGTTCTAAAAGATAGGCAAAAGGATAGGAGCATTGGATCTTAAAATATACTTTAAATTCCTGTTAAGAATATGTAATATATTATGTACAATATTTGGTGAAAGTGTCATATCATTTGTCAACTGACTTTTTATCTGGTGTTTGCTTGTTGTTTGTTGAGACAGTTGTGGGTCAAACTGGGCTCCAGTTTGCTATGAAGCCTCAGCTAAACTTGAACTCCTAATTCTTCTACCTCCCCCTCCCAAGTGCCAGAATTACAGGTATACACTCCCCAAACTTAATCTTAAAGTAATTTTTTAATTCATAGGTAACTTCCCTAGTACTATTATAAGGATACATATACATATATATGTGCACATACACTTTTCAATTAATCCCCTGACATGTAGAAAACAGTACTAATCCCATGTTTCAAATGGTGAAACAAAGGCTTAGAAAGGTTGAGATATCCATCCCAGGTCCCCAGGTCCCTTATCAAACCAATATTAGTACATAGTTTGAATTTCAGAGCCTTGTGCTCTTATATACTAAAACCAGGCAAACCAAAATGATAGTAAAGGCATTTTAGAATAGAAGATCTACCAAATGCCTGGAATAAATGTTACAGATAAGATCTTAAAGTATGCATATTTGTGGCCTTTCCCTTCAATTGATAATGCTATTTCCTATCAGTGCCAGGCTGTTCTAATATCTTCCTCTTGCACTTTCCAACACACACACACACAAACACACACACACACACACACACACACAAACACGGCAGCAAGAGTTTCACAGTAGAGTGCCAATGGTAGAAACAAATGGCAGAAAAGTTAATGTTCCACCTTAACTTACTAAACAGCAAAAGTAAGTGTGTTAAGTGAGGTGAGTGTGGCCTCAGAAACAGGCTGGGAAGGGGAGCCAGATCAGAGTGTACTCAATTGATTGGATGTTCTCACTGCCTGTTTACCTGCAGGTAAGCTCATTTATGGGTCTAAAAGAACAAGAGACAAAAGTGTTTGCACAAACCTTTGTTCCTGGATTTCCTTCACATATCTGCCCAACCCAGAAGGTCTGCTGATTACTTGCAGAAGCTGAAATGCTGGATTTTCCCAATCTCAGTTAGAAATGAGTTGTCTCTGAGGGTACTTGGATCTTACTGAAGCAGCCCTAAGAGAGTAGTTTTCAGTGAATGTAGTAGTCTATAATTAAAAAACATTGTTGGACATCACTACTGCACTCTGTGGTAGTCATTAGCCACCTTTGACTGATAAAACACTTGAAATATGTAAACTGAAACTTGAGAAACAATTTTTGAGTGTATAATTTAAACATTTACATGTGATAAGTGGCTACAGTATTAGAACAGCTGTAGACCCATTTTAATTCCTCTTCACTGGGGAGCCCTGATACTGCTATACAACTACCTTGAGGGAGGTATACATATATCCCCATTTAACAGATACGAAAATAGAGGCTTCAGGAAACTAAGTGACCTACCCATGTATATATAACTAAAAAGTGGAAATTTCTAGATTTTACAAATGTATCAGTCCCTCTCAAGATGTGATGATTTCATAGAGTGGCCCTCAACTCTGGTTGTGTGTATACTTTTATCTTTGTGTTTTCCTTTTATTGAAAACATTTATTTGCCCACATAATATATTCACATTAAAATTACAGTATCTCCTCCCTCTATTCCTCCCAGTTCCTCCCCATCTCTCCTCCCATTTTGTCTCTCATTAGAAAACAAATAGGCATTCTTGCATGGTGGCCCATACTTTTAATCCCAGCACTCAGGAGGCTGAGGCAAGTAGATCTCTGGAAGTTCAAAGCCAGCTTTGTCTACAAACTGAGTTCTTGGCCAGTCAAGGCTGTTACATAGAGAAACCCTATCTTGAAAAAAAACAAAAAAAGCAGCACTTGGAAAGCATAGGCAGGCAGATCTCTGTGAGTTAGAGGTTAGACTAGTCTATAGAGTGTACTCAATTGATTGGATGTTCTCACTGCCTGTTTACCTGCAGGTAAGCTCATTTATGGGTCTACAGAGAGAGTTCCAGGTTCCAAGACAACCAGGGCTACATAAAAAGAAACCCTGCTAGAAGAGAGAGAGAGGGGAGAGAGAGGAGGAGGAGGAGGAGGAGGAGGAGGAGAGAGAGAGAGAGAGAGAAACAGGCTTCTGAGGGATAATAATAAAACAAAGATAAATTGAAAACTAGCACATTGGAATTTGGAAAAAAAGAACCCAAACAAACAAATATAAGGATGATTGTCCAAGAGAAGGCACAAGAATCAGAGACCTATTTGTTCAAACATTCAGGAATTCCATCAAAACACTAAACTGGAAGACAATATATACAATACAAAACGGACCTGGTGCAGACCTGTGCAGGCCCTGTTCATGCTCCCTCAGTCTCTGTAAAATCATATGAGCTTTGATCATATGCTATCATGTTGTTTTCTTTGTGTCCTCCATCCCCTCTGGCTCCTACACTCTTCTTCTGCAAGGTTCCACAAGACCTGAGGGAAGGGATTTAATCAAAGCATCCCTTTTAGGACCGAGCATTTCAAGGTCTCCCACTCTCTGCACAATATCTGGCTGTGGGTCTCTGAATGTGTTCTCATTGGCTGCAGGTGCAAGCTTCTCTGATGATGGTTGAGCAAGGCACTGATTTATGAGTACTACAGAATGTCATTAGGAGTCATTTTATTACTATTTTTTTTCCTTTTGAGCAGTAGCATTTGGCCTTACACTAGGGCCCTGATCTGTCTCAGCTTCTTGGTTATCCAAGTAGTGTCAGATACAGGTTACATCTTGTGTGGTGGAACTTAAGTCAAATTAAATATTGGTTGGTTACTCCCAAAAATTTTGTGCCACTGTTGCCCTAGCAAATCTTGCATGCACTATATACCATTGTAGATCAAAGAATTTGATGTTTACATTTTTTTTTTTGTATCATGCAGAGTACCTTCCTATACCAAAGACCCTAACACATAGGGATGAAGGTTCTATGAAGGCACCAACTTGACTTCTCTATGTTCAATGAGTGTTGTGGGTGTTGTCTTCAGCAATAGAATCTTGCTATCAGTAAGAGAGCAACCTATAGTCTTGGCAACAGCCTAGGTTGTTTGGCAGTTCCCATGAGACAGACCCCTTGGCCAACAACTCAAATAGATGTAACCTAACCCCAGTACTAGAAGCTCTATTTGGTGACAAGAGATGTCCAGTTGGGACTCTGTTGCCCCAATTATTTGATTTCCTTTAAATAACTTTTCTATATGTATGCATTTTAGGAAGCTCCTACTGTGTTAGCATTCCATACTACCCCTCAAATGGCTAATTTTAGCTGTCTATGTATTCCAGTTCTCTTCCCCCATCCAATGTCTTGGTTCTATGGGTTTTTAGCTGTGCTATCATTGACTTAACAGCTAATATCCATATATAGGTGGATACATATTGTATTTGTCTTTCTGGGTTAGAAATACCTCACTTGGGATGACTTTTTTTTAGTTCCATCCATTTACCTGCAAATTTCACCATTTCATTTTTTAATGCCTGAGTAATACTCTACTGTGTAAAAGTACATTTTTTATCCATTCTTTTGCTGAGAGACACCTAGGCTGTTTCCAATTTCTGGCTATCATGAATAGAACAGCAATGAACATGGTTGAACAAATGTCTCTTCTCTGTGCAGGATGAATCACCCTTTGGATATATGCCCAAGAGTACTATAGCTGGACCTTGAGGTAAATAGATTCCCATCTTCCTGAGGAACTGCCACACTGATTTCCACAGTAGCTGCACATATTGCAGTTCCACCAGCAATGAACAAGTTAGTGTTCCCTTTGCTCCACATCCTCACCAGCTTGAGCTGTCACTGTTTTATTGATCTTAGCCATCATGATAGAAATAAGATGAAATCTCAAAGTAGTTCCATTTGCATTTCATTTGCAATGGAATCTTGAAATTTTCAGGCAAATGGATGGACTAGAGGAAACCATTATGAGCGAGGTAACCCAGTCACAAAAAGACAGGTATTGTATGTACTCACTCATATGTGGATTTTAGACATAGAGTAAAGGATTGTCAGCCTGCAACCCAGGCTGCCAGAGAGGCTGGTAAACAAGGAGGACCCTGAGAGAGACATGCATGGTCCCCTGGAGAAAGGAAAAGAGACAAGATCTCCTGAGCAAATTGGGAGCATGGGAGGAGGGGAGAGGGAACAAGTGAATGAGAAGGGGAGAAGAGGAGGGGTGAGGAAGACATGATGGGGGAGGGGGTTTAAGGTGGGGGAAGAACAGAAGAGAGAAAGATAAGAGATAATAGAGGGAGACATTATAAGTTCAAAGAGAAATCAGGCACTAGGGAAATGTCTGGAGAGCTACAAAGATGACACCAACTAACAATCTAAACAATAGAGGGGAGGCTACCTTAAATGACCTCTCCTGATAATGAGATTGATGACTAAATCATATGCCATAATATAGCCTTCATCTAGCAGCTGGTGGAAGTAGAAGCAGACACCTACAGCTAAACCTTGAACTGAACTGAAATCCAGATGCAGAGGAGGAGGACTGATGAGCAAAGGGGTCCATACCAGACTGGTGACACCTACAGAAACAGCTGAACTGAACAAGGGAGAACTCTTGGTCCCCAGACTGATAGCTAGGAAACCAGCAAGGGACTGATCCAGACCCCATGAATGTGGGTGACAGTGAGGAAACCTTGGAAATCTATGGGGCCTCTTATAGTGGATCAGTACTTACTGATACCATAGGAATGGACTTTAGGAGCCCATCCCACATGGAGGGATACTCCCTGAGCCTAGACACAAGGGGGTTGGCCTAGGCCCTATCCCAAAGACTATGACAGATTTTTAAGACCCCCCTATGGAAGGCTTCACCTTCCCTGGGGATCAGAAAGGGTATAGGATAAGTAGGGCATTAGTTGGGGGACAGGGGAGGAGGGGAGAGAGAGGGACTTGGGATTGACAAGTAAAATAATTTTCTTTCTAATAAAAAAAGAAAAAATAGAAACCATTAAATTCTAAAAAAAAAAAAAACTGGTATCCATAGGTGTGTGAATTTGTGTCTGAGTTTTCAACTTAGCTGCATTGATCAGCAGATCTATTTTTGTGACAATCCTATGATGTTATTATTACTATAGCTCTATAGCACTACTCCCAATTGGGGATGGTGATACTTCCCCCAGTCTTTATTATTCAGGATTGTTTTCCTATGATGTGTGTGTTCCATATAAATCTCAAAATCGTAAAATGAAAAACAAAAATTTTAAATAATAAAAAAATGTGAAGAACTGTGATGGAATTTGGATGAGGATTGCATTGAGTCTGTAAATTGCTTTTGGCAGGACAGCCATTTTCACTGTTAATCTTACTGATCATGAGCATGGGGGATCTTTCCACCTTCTGATATCTTCTTCAGTTTCTTTCTTATGTCTTAAAGTTGTTATCTTTCATGTGTCTAGTTATAATTAACCCAAGATATTTTATATTATTTGAGGCTGTTGTGAAAGTTGTTGTTTCCCTGATCTCTTTCTCAGTCCATTTGTCATTTGTATATAGGAGGGCTACTGATTTTTGTGAGTTAATTGTATATCCTTTGCTGAAAGTCCTCATCACCTGTACAAGTTTCCTGGTGGAATTTTTTGGGGTCACTTATGTATTTTATTGCATCTGTAAATTATACTTCTTTATTTTCAATCTGTGTTCCCTATGTCTCCTTCAGTTGTCTTATTGCTCTAGCTAAGATTTCAAGTACTGTATTAAATAGGTCTGGAGAGAGTAGACAACCTTGCCTTGTTTCTGATATAATGAAATTGATTTGGGATTCTTTCCATTTAAGTTTATGTTGACTATGGACTTGTTGTAAACTGCTTTGATTACATTTAGGTATGTCCCTTGTATCCTTAATCTCTCAAGAACTTTCATCATGAAGGGGTGTTGGATTTTGTCAAAAGCCTTTTCTGCATCTAATGAGACGATGGTGTGGTTTTTCTTTCAGTTTATGGTGGATTACATTTATTAATTTATGTATGTTAAACCATCTCTGCCTCTCTGAGATGAAGTCTATTTGATCATAGTTTGGTGTCCTTCTAGTGTGTTCTTGGATTCAATTTGGAAGTATTTTATTGAATATTTTTACATCTATGTTCATAAGGGAAATTGGTCTATAATTCTCATTGTTGGTTATTTATGTGGTTTGGGTGCCAGGGTAAATATGGCCTCATGAAAAGAATTGGCACTGTTCCCTCTATTTCTGTTTTGTGGAATAACTTGAGGAATGTTGGCTTTGACTCTTCTTTGAAAATCTTGTTAAAATTCTGTGCTAAAACCTTCTGGCCCTGGGCTTTTGGTTGGTAGACTTTTAATGACTGATCCTATTTTACTAGGGGTTGTAGGCATATTGAAATTCCTTATTTGGTCTTGCTTTAACTTTGCTAAGTAGTATACATCCAGAGAATTCTCCAATTTTTTTTCCAATTTGGTGGAGTACAAGTTAATAAAGTATGTTCTGATGATTCTCTGGAATTCTTCAATGTCTGTTTTCACTTCTAATTTTGTTAATTTGGATCCTCTCTCTACACCTTTTAATTAATTTGGAAAAGAGTTTGTCGATTTTTCTCAAAGAAGTAACTCTTATTTCATTGATTCTTTGTATTTTTGTTTGCCTCTATTTTGCTGATTTCAGTCCTGAGTTTGATTATTTCATACTGTATACTCCTTTTGGGTGTGATTTGTATTTCTTCTAAAGTTTCAGGTTTGCTCTTATAAGTGTCTAGTATGGGAGCTCTCAATTTTTTTAATGAAAGCACTTAAAAACGTTATGAATTTGCCCCTTAGAACCACATTCACTGTGTCCTATAAGTTTGGGCATGTCATGCACTTGTTTTCTCATTCAGCTCTATAAAGTCTTTTCTCTAAAGACTTATAGGATCCAGGGTGTTATTTCAATTTTCTTGTACCTGTTGAGACTTTGTGTCTAAGTATGTGGCCAATTTTGAAGAAAGTTCCATGAAGTGCAGAGTAGAGGTATATTCTTTTATATTTGGATGACATGTTCAGTAAAAACGTTAGGTCCATAACTTCAGTTAGCACCCTCATTCTCTGTTTAGTTGTTATCTGGATGTCTGTCTGTTGGTAAGGGTAGGGTAGTAAAGTTTTCCACTATCAGTGTGTGAGGGTCAACATGTGATTTAAGCTGTAGTAGTATTTTTTACAAACTTGTTTGCCCTTATGTTTGGTGCATAGATGTTAAGAATTGCAATGTCCTCTTGGATTTTTCCTTTGATGAGTATGTAGTATCCTTCCCAATTTCTTCTCATCAGTTTTGATTTGAAGTATATTTTGCTAGATATTAAAATAGCTACACCATCTTTCTTCTCATGCCCATTTGGTTTTATCCTTTAACCCTGCCGTGATGTCTATTCTTTATGTTAAGGAATGTTTTTTAGAAGTAACAGAAGAGTAGATCTTGGTTTTGCATCCATTCCATTAGTCTGTGTCTTTTTACTGGGGAATTGATATTATTGATGTTGAGAAATATCAATGAGCAGTGTTTGTTCATTCTTATTTTGTTCTGGTGGTGGTGAAGGTGGTGGTGGTGGTGGTTTCCCCTCTTTTGATTTGTTGATCTAGGTTATTTATTCCAAGTGTTTTCTTGGGTGTGGTTAACCTCTTTATATAGGAGTTTTCTTTTTAGTGCTTTCTGAAGGGATGGATTAGTAGATAAATATTGCATTCCTTATTGAAAGTTTTGCTGGATATAATGATCTGGGATGGCATCTGTGGTCTCTCAGAATCTGGAGAACATCTGTCCAGGCCTTTCTAGCCTTTAGTGTCTCCATTGAGAAGTCAGGTGTTACTCTAGTAGCTCTGTCTTTATGTGTTACTTGGTCTTTTCCCCTTGTGCCTTATAATATTCTTCCTTTGTCCTATGTTTTATTATGTGCCCAGGGGACTTTCTTTTTTGGTCTAGTCTATTTGAGGTTTTGTATCCTTCTTGTACCTTGATATAGACTTCCTTTAGGTTAGGGAGATTCTGTTGAAAATATTTTATGTGCCTTTAAGCTGTGTTTCTTCTTTCCTGTATATCTATTATTCTTAGATTTTAACTTTTCATTGTATCCCAGATTTTCTAGATGTCTAGTGCCAGTAATTTTGTAGATTTAACATTTTCTTTGTCCAAGGTAGCCATTACTTCTATCATGTCTTTAATACCTGAGATTCTCTTCCATTTCTTATATTCTGTTGGTGAGTCTTGCCTCTAAGGTTCCTGTTTGAGTTCCTAAACCTTTCATGTCTAGATTTCGCTCAGTTTCTCTTGTCTTTATTGATTCTATTTCTACTTGCAGTCTTGATCTGTGTAATTCATTTTCTTCTACCATTTGTGTTTTCATATATTTCATTAAGGGATTTATTTATTTACTCTGTAAGGACTGCTATCATACTCATAAAGGCTATTTTAAGATTTTTTCTTGTGTTTCAGCTATGTTGTAATACTCAGGGTCTGCTGTGGTCAGTTTGCTGGTTGTTTCTGTGTTTTACAGTGGGCTCTAAGCTTCTGGGTAGCTATTCTGACTTCTGAAATGTAAAGCAGCAAATCACAAGAAACTAGGAAAGATTAACTGAGGAACCATAAGACCAGGTAGCAAAAGAGGAGTGTGAGAGCAGACACAGGCTAAAAGCATAAAGCATTTCACTGTTCCTAGATGTAAGAACTCAATTTTCCCAAACTTTTTAGCTCATAGTGTGTTCCCTCCCTGACTTCCTAAAGGTCTCTTGAAGTGGCCCAAAGCTTCTGTGCTTCATTCTTCATCCTGCCAAGGTTACTTCCAGCATAATGCCCCTACACTTGCACATAAGAAGTATTTATATTCATTGTTTTAAAGGGAGTGAAATTGTTTTGTTTTGCTCTTCCATGCTTTGCAGTGTTGAAAAACAAAGGTAGGGCATTGTGATTGCTAGTTATGCACTCCCCCAATGAGCTAGCCTCTCGGCCAGAAGCAGATGTTGGAATTCAGACAACTGGAATTATTCACATTGAAGATGAGTTTGAAAGTCCTTTATCAAAATTTTCACTTGTCCTACAAAAATGGTTAGAGAAAGTGAAATTATTTCTTTGATCCAGATGCCAATGTGATTGAGGGTGATGAAATAGGGGGGAAAAATGAGAATACTAAATGGTTGAACACAGAAAATTTGTAGCATTTTTCTTACACCTGTTGTGTACAAGACACTTGCATTTTTGGTTAGAGACCACTGGTTAAAGTTCAGGACTGAGAATGTCAACATGTGCAAATGCTTAAAGGAAACTGTCATCAAAATAGAAAATGTGGCCATAAACCCCACCCCCAGACCAGTTCTTTCTTTCTTTTATACAATAAAAGAGTAAAAATAAAAATGATTTGTGTTTTAGAATATCATTATGAATGTATGGCTCTAAAATGTGCTGAGGAAGTCATTTCTCTATTCAGGAACTCAGCCCAGCTGCTTCAACATGAAGCCTGTGTTTTCTAGAACTAAATGGACTTGCATTCTAAGAATATGCTTTGACAAGTAACAGCTCTAAGAGCCATGAAGGAAAAAAAAAATCTGCAAAGATAGAAACATCTCCTCTGTTGACAAGTGCCCTTTAAAAGGCAGAACTTTTATTTTCTTAAAGCAAAATCACCAGTCTCATCAGCCTGCTGCTTACAAAAGCAAGAACAGATTTATGTTTCTTTCATCTACAGCTGCAGAGGCAAAAAATTAGTTTGCTCCAATTGGTTTTGCTTTAGTGACGTGAAAATAAAACAACCCCAAGAGTGCAAGGAGAACAAACAGAGATGTGAAAGAAGGTAGAAAAGGCTACTTAAGTAACCAACAGATTTGAATGTCAAGCCATGACTATTTTTTTAATCTTTTGTTTTCTTATCCCTTAGACTTCCATTTCCTTTCTGAACACTCAAACAAACCCACAGCGTTTACAGAGGTGCGTAAAACAGGATACCAAGGTCCCACTATTTTCTACTTCCAATTCTTCTTAAGGATCTCCCAGATTTTCAACTATTGCTTGTTATCATGAGGTGGAAGGAACTGCAGAAGAATCAAACCAGAAAATCAGGACAGATGGCCAGGATCTCAGTTCTTCCCAATCAGTTTTGTGCCTTTGAACAAAGAATGGCTTCTCTTTAAAGGTCCTTTCCCTTCTAGGAAGTAAGGGAGGACAGATTATTTACTCTTGGTCTGCTTCTAGTTGAATCCTCTTCTGGCACTAAAAAATAAATATTTAAGCACAATATGTTATCTTAAATTTTTGAGTAGCCACTTGAAAATGTTTTTAGAACAAGTAAAACAAATTGTAATAATGATTTTGCTCATCCTAGCATATTCAAACTATTAACACCTCAACAAGTAATCTGTATAATAATATTACTACTTTGATAATATTACTAACAGTTTACAATCTATTGGGCCTTCATTATGCTATGTGATTGATAAAAGTATTCTCAATTCACAAACACCTAAGTCTGTTGGCTAGTGTTTGGGGCAAGGCATTTTTAGTCTAATACTGGACATTATTACAAAGACTTTCTATTTTTGTAATAAGTTCAATTTTACATCTGTATAGCTGATTCTGTTATAAAAGACTACTTCTTACTGACAATATCCAGTCATCAGCATTAAATGGTAAACTACCCAGATTACTCAGTTTCTATATCAGACCTTTGATCAATAGCAGCTCATCACCCTAAAATATATTCAGTCTTCAAGTAAAGTTTTCTTAATTGGTTGTTAGGTCTTGACTCTGAATTTCAGGGAACAATTGAGATATACTATAAATATGAATTAAAAGTTTAAAAATATCTAGTGCATGTTTTAATAATATTAAAATACTGGCTGACCCAAAAGGCTAATGTTTTTATTTTTATTTTTACAGAAACCAATCACTTGCTTTCTATAAATCATGTTCTATACATCAATCTTCTCACAAAAAAAATAAAAAATCTGAAATATAGCAAGCAGTGAAAATCTAATAGGTCACATATCATTTAACTACTGTACTGTTTTCCAGTGAACTCAGCAAATGTTCTTGAATACCTTCTACTGACCAGGAATTATGCTTGTGTTAAAGAGTGTCTTTGTGGGCTAATTGCAAAGGTCTCAATAGGCCCAATGTCAGAGGTTCTGCCATGTGAGGGGTGAACAGAGGAGATGAGGGTTTTATTCTACAATATCTTTTCCTATAGATGAGTCCCCCAAAATATTGACATTTTTTAAAGGGCCCCTTTTTATTCCTTCAAGACAATTCTTCCTAGAAAACAAAATGTACTGCATTCAGTATATGCTATAAATTTAAATGTAACACACATTTTTTAAGAAAATATTCAGACAAATCAAAATTCTCTGTAATAAAAGGTAAAAGTTCTCCTCTCTCAAAGCATTATCCCCCATGTGCTTCTGTCAGCAGTGACCACTGTTAAATCGATATCTCAGAATTCCCCCAAGCACAGCCACATATGAATACATATATGTGTACACATATAAACATATGCAAGCTTTGAGAACATGTTTTTATAGTAACATGATTTTGAATAAATGTAAAAAGTATAGAAGTAGATCAAATGGAGTATTCTACAATCACATGTAATATATTAAGAGGTATTTTAAGTAAAGTAACATGATTATTAGAAGAAAATACAAATTATAAAACTTTTCCTACTCCACATTTTTATGGTCCAGAAGTAGTAATGAAAATCCATAGTTTTTCCTGTGTATGTATACCTGTGAAATTTCACATAAATACATATTCAGGGTCTGAAATGTGTTTTCAAATAGTTATCATGGTGAAATCTAACATAAACACAGGTAGTGAACACACCAATAAATTCCCAAACACTACCACACAAACTAAACTGCAAAACTGCCAGCCTTCTAGAAGTCCCTCATCCCAGCTCTTAATTACCACTCTGTACAGCCTCCTTCCCAAAGGTCTCCACTATATCTTTTCTGATAGCAGTTCTTTACTTCCTTAATTTTACCATGTATCCACACATCTGTAAACATTATAACTTCCTAATTTTAAGTTTGTTCCTTAAATGTTTATTATTTATTCCATATGTATGTATGTGTACACCTGTGTGAGTTTATGTGCATTGTGTGAATAGAGGAAGAAGCCAGAAGAAGGCATGTAATTCCTTGGAACATGAGTCAACATACATACAGTTGTGAGCTACCATTTAGATGCTAAGAACCAAACCAGAATCCTCTCCAAGAGTAGTAAGTGCATTTAACTGCTCATCTCCAGCTCCAGATTTTAGGGTTGTTGTTTTTGTTTTTCTGTTTTGTTTTTTTTTAAGATTTAGATCATATGTATTTTCTTAAGTCTGGCTTCTTTTATTTCAAGTATTATCTATTTTTAAGTCAATATATCTCAGGCATTTTGGCTCACTTAGATTTGCAATATGAAATGCAACACATTTCACTGATAATCACATCATTTTTACTATTTTTGTTATTATAAATAATGTCCTAAAATCATTTTGAGCATTTGTCTTCACAGCTCAATTATTTAAAACTTAAAAGGCAATCTATTGCTGTAAAATACAATGACATATCAATTATTTCAGGATTCCTGGAGGGGTGTCCCTCTCTAAAACTTATATTTTGTTAAGAGGACAGTAGAAATATTTAGAACACACTATTGCTACTTTCACTTCTTTATTCATTTTCTTCTTCCCAGTTTCCCAGGTTTGTTTGTTTGTTTTGTGTGCTGGGTATTGAACCACAGCCTGTGCTTGCCAGGCTAGCTTTCTGCTGAGCAACAGCCCCAATCTCTATGCTGTGTTCACTTGTTTACCAACAGTCACAATTACTAGAGAAACTGAATAAAATACTTATTCCTCAGTATTCAATACCTTCAGATATGACCTTAATACATTGGGATATGATTTAATGTATTGTACTATATCCAAGACACTCCAAATTATGGTCATGGTAACAAAACAGGTTATTTCTCACTCGTATAACAGTCTAGTGCTATGTACAGTGGCCAGGGTGGAGAAGACAGCCCTAGCCCAGAGGGTTACCTGCACATTCAAATCAATGCTGTCTTGGAGTCCAAGATTTCTCAAGAAATGTCATTAGTTGTGTGGTAGAGGCTGTTCTTTCACAATGCCCATGGTTTCAGAAGGGATAAAGATAAAATAGGAAATTGAGAATAATTTCTCATGAGGAAGAACAGAGGTGTGCACATTCTTTTGCCAGACAGTATGGTCCCTAGGCTGAAGTGATTGCTGAGTAGGTAAAGTATATGTACAAACATGATAATATGGGTTTGATCCATAACATCTGAGTGTAGTCATACATACATCACACAGTCAATCTAGCATAAACAGTGAGTTCCAGGCTATTGTTTCAAAAACAAAATGGACAACACCTGAGTAACAATGACCAAGATGATCTCTGGTCTTCACACAGATGTACACACATATACATTTCCATAGACATGCACATACAAGCACATAAACAAAAACAAGAAAAAATGGCCACAGCTAGTTGTGAGGTTAGTTAAGGATGGGTGGTTTCTAGCTCTATGCCCACATGCCTTCCTCAAGTTGGCAAGAGTTGGAATCAATTGACAGAAAGAAGATGGATACCAAAGTAGTCCTAGTTAGGGCCCCAGCTGAAATTTTACAGGTCGTAGCTCCCTAACTCCTATATTCTTCAAATGTCACCAGCTACTAAAGCAGAAAGACATTCTTTTCTATTTAACTTAAAATTAATGGTAGCAATCACACTTAGAATCCCATGATCTATCTATTTTATTAACTCTCTAAAAATTATGAGGGTAAGTACCATTATGCCTCTGATGACAGAGCAACAGTTTAGGAGAGGTCCTTGCCTGTTTCAAAATTAGCCTTTAATTACTGCAGGCTAAAGACTTGAACAAGTCTTTGCCTAACCTTGTCTGTACAGCAAAGTCTTACCTTTTAAAGAAACTATCCTTTAACAAGTTAAAAATGGTACAGTTATTAGTAGAAGATATCTGAGATAGACTAAACCCAAATTTTAATGATATTAGTTGCCATTCACTGGACCAACCCATGTCCTAGCAAGCAGCACTACAGGCATGTCAACCTTTCTGGAGACTTGTTTCCTTGTACTCCAGCACTTTGCAATTGTAACATCTTTGTCCCTGTCCTTACCCACAAATGTCTGATGACACTGAGCCCTAGTAGATTAAGCAGCTGTCTCAGGGAGATATAGAGGAGCACCAATCTCTGTCCCATGTAGATACCATGGCATGCTCATGAAAGAGGACAGTGTCTTACCCACCTTCCAAATCAGATATAAAGCATATTCAGTATGGAGACTGTCCTATTCTTGTACATTTTTGGCCACTAGAGGTTACAAAAGGCATTGGGTGGCACAGAGTAAAGATACCCAATACTTCTCTACTGTCTCCTAGAGTCTTATGGTTTAAAATTGAAATGTCTCTTGTAAGCTCATATATTTGAATACTTGCTCCCCAGCTTATCATACTGTTTTAGAAGGTTGTGGAATCTATAGAGCTTCACTGGAGGTGGGACACTGTAGGTAGATCTTTAATTTTACAGCCAGGCCCACTTCCTGTACCCTTCTTGCTCCCTGACTATTGATATAATGTGACCATGTATTTCATGCTCTTATTGCCATGCATTACCCTCAAACTCAACACATTGTTTTATAAACACATCTTCATTTGGCGTCCTGAGTATAGACATGGTATAACCAGCTTCCTCACAGTCCTGCCCTGCTTTTCCTGCTATGACTGACTGTACCCATCAAACAATAGGCCAACATTAACCCTTCCTCCCTTACATTGCTTTTTGTCAATTATTTGGTCACAGCAATAACAAAAGTATGTAAAGCACAAGGCATTTTTCAGGTTATAGAATAGAATAAGAGAACAGAGTGGCCAACATGTTGTATGAGTGCTTAGTTTCAGGATAAGGCCTTGAGAGAATCTATATACACCTAGCAGGGATCCCAAGGTCCAAGGTTATAGGCACCATCTTAGTCATCCTTTTGTGTTGCTATATCATAATACCTGAGGATGGAAAATTAGTAAGGGGAATTGTGCAGTATCCCACCATAGCCACATAGCCCAGGCTTAATGGGATGTTCTTCTGTATAAATGTTTCTCTTATTGGTTGATGATTAAAACACTGTCTGGCCAATGAGGTAGAGAGATAGGCGGGACTAGGACAAGAATTCTGGGAAAGGTAGGCA